TAGTGTGAATCAGTTTTATCGCGGTCAGATTTGTAAATTGCGAGAGAAGCTTTCATCGGTGTCTCCTGCGCGACCAAATTTCCATTCCCCTGTCCTGCCGGCTGTCAGGGATTCTGTGATAGGGTAACATAACTGGGAAAAAAAGAAAAGGCGCGTCCAATGGAACAAGTCAAAAAAAAAAAAGATGAAAAGAATTGGATTCTGTGACGGCGACGGAGGACGGCACGTGATCCATTCTCGAGAATTTTCTGTATTTGACACGGACTGTCGTCGTCCTGCTTCGACGGGGAACGTGAGAGGACGGGTCTTGGACTATTTGGAAGGTGGAGAAGACGGCAACGGGCGGGCATTACGGAGGCAAATGTGAACGGCGGGAGAAGCGGGGAAAAGAACCCTTATGGCTTGGCTGAGCTGGAAGTCGGCCGAGATTTGGGTGTACGATAAAGCGATGGTGATAGTGAATAATATTGACAATGCCAGGTGATGTTGTTGTTGTGGGGTTAATGTGGATAATTATTGAAGTGATCGTGTGCTGGCTGACCTCCAAATCGAGTGGGTTGGTAAGGGAGAACATAGCCCTTATGACGTTGTCTAGACCCCGCTTGGATGGAAAAGTGAGTCCGCTGGCTTACAGTGTGTGTGATTGGGTGAGGTTCTGAATGCCTCCGTGTGGCGTTCTTTTGGAACGGTTTCCGCGTTGAGCGGTGTGTGGATCGGAAGCAAACAAGGAGAAGAAAAGAGAGTCCGGGCGTGTCGCATCGCAGCGACTCGAACGCGTGGTCACGCACCAGACGGGGAAAAAGGCCATCCTTCCCCCCCCCTCGCCTCTCCCGCCCCCTCCTCCTCTTTCTCTTCCTCTCTCTCTCCTCCTCGTCCACCTCACTCACTTCCCACCATCATCCTCCAACATTATATTGTTGCTGCTATCCGCATCCATCTTCTAAGCGGTCTATACCCTCAATCAGCGTCAAAGAGGATCACATCTCTTAATCAACAACCATCCGACTAACCCCCTCAAAACAGCCTAATAACACCTCTCCTGTGTAAAACGTAAGTACTACCCTGATTAATCCGTGTTTAAAAGGGGCAGACACCCGAACGTCGACCCCTGTCCCACTCTGCTTCTTTCCTTTTCCCTTATCTCCCCGTGACTTGTCCCATTTCTGACCATCATCTCTTTCTCCCCTCTCTCCACCAACAGCCCTCCCTAGACATCACCATCCATAATGTCCGAACCCGTTGCCGCCGCCCCTGCCGTTGCCGCTCCTGCGGAGCCCGTCGAGGTTGAGGCTCCCAAGGAGGAAGTCGCCGCTGCCACCGTTGAGGCCCCTGCTGCCACGGTATGCACGCGTTTCTCTTTGACCCGTTTCTTGAAACTGACGCCTCCCCTAGGAGGCTCCTGCTGCTGAGGCCGCTGCCCCCGCCGAGCCTACTGAGGTTGAGGCTGCTCAGCCTGCCGAGGAGGCCGCTCCTGCCGTGAGTGGTGTATACAGCGCTAGTTAATACATATATGCTTACATGTTGTCTCAGCCTGCTGAACAGCCTACCGAGGGTGCCAAGGCTGCCCCCAAGGCCAGCCCGAAGAAGCCCAATTTCTTCTCCAAGCTCCTCAACACCCTCAAGGGTGACGTGAAGAAGGCAGAGCACGCTATCGAGGGTGCCGCTAAGGGCGTCACTAAGCCAAAGAAGGAAGTTAAGAAGGAGGTTAGTAATCATGGTCGCGTGGTCAAACAGCTATTGATTCTCTGCATAAGGCTGCTCCCGCTGCTGAGTCCGCCCCGGCTGCCGAGGCCCCTGCTGCTGCTCCTGCAGAGGAGGCTGCTGCTCCCGCGGCGCCTGCAGAGCCTGCGGCCGAGCCTGCCGCGGAGCCCGCTGCCCCCAAGGCTGAGGACCCTGCTCCGGTCGACGCGGTCAAGGACACGTGGGTAGCCTCTTCTTATCCACCTAGAACTCCAATTTATGACCGCTTTCATTCTTCTTACAGTGAGGGTGCTGCCCCTGCTGCTCCCGCCCCCACCGAGACGCCTGCCCCTGCCAAGAAGGAAGAGGCTACCGCCCGCCCGAAAGCCGTTGGCCGCAACTTCTCCAAGCGCCTGAGCGGTGTCTTCTCCGGTCTCGGCAAGAAGAAGGAAGCTCCGGCTGCCGCTGCCCACAAGGTTGACGAGCAGCCCCCAAAGATCGAGGAACCTGCTCCGGTCGCTCCCCTTGAGGAGCCAGAAGCGGCTGCCGCTGCTCCTGAGCCCACGGCTGAGGCACCCAAGCCCACCGAGGAGCCTGCAATCCAGACAACCACCAACTCCCCTCAGGTCATCTCTGCCGCGGCATAAATGGGACTTTCGTGTGTTCACTCTGGATCGATCGATGTCGCTTGCTGTCCTTTTCTTCACTGCTAACGATTCCGCCACGCCTCTCGATTTTCTCCGTTGATCCATTTTTGGTTCTACGGAGCCATTATGACGTTCCCCTCTGTCTATTCACGTCCATGTCCACCCTATCGTACAGTCAGTGCGACGTTTTCCTTCCTCTACGCCGTCCTTTCACCTTCCGTAATACTTCGCTACATACACCCTTCATACGCTCGTCATGTCGGATCGTTGGACATCACTAGATGTTCATCGATTAGTATACCATTGATGTAGTGAAGCTAGCTCGTTTCTTGGTGGATTGGAATGTCCATGTTCTTATGCGAAAATGGTGCATGATTTGTGATGGACCGATTCGAGAACGCTTTTCATGCGACGCGTCGCCGCCCTCTTTAGTACGTTGTGTGACTTTTTCCGAACTTTAACGCCACTCAACCCTTGCTCTCACTTCGCCATGCCTCCAAAGGATACCCAAAAAGACAAAACATCGGAGGAGGAGGAAGTCTTACAAGCCGTCGTCCTCGCCGACAGTTTCAACACCCGGTTCAAACCATTAACACTGAACACACCCCGAGTGAGCTCTGTCGGTGATGTATGCACCTTGTCCCTGACTCGACCTGCGTTCAGTGCCTACTACCGATATGTAACGTCCCTATGCTGTTGTGGACGTTTGAGAGCCTAGCTCTGGCAGGAGTGGAGGAGATATTCGTTTTCTGCAACGCCCATTCGGACCAAATCAAGGAGGCCATCCAGTGCGTATGCGATCCAGGTCGTACCGATGGTGTGACTGACGCTACAACAGGACATCCCGTTTCGCCCAACCCGCTGCGGGACTGCGTATCGTTCCTGTCGTTTCACCGCGTACGATGTCTGTGGGAGATGCGATGCGTGAGTTGGACGAGAAGCAGCTGATCTCTTCCGACTTTATATTGGTTGCGGGGGATGTGGTGAGCAACCTTCAAATTGATCGGGTTGTCAGGGAGCATAAGGAGCGGAGGAGAAAGAACAAAGATGCGATCATGACTATGGTCGTTAAGCGGAGTGGGGCATTTCATAGGACACGGTGAGCTGGGCTCGCTTCTGGGAAGTTGCTTGAATGCTAATGCGTGCTCAGGCCGGTAGGGGATACTTCTGTCTTTGTGCTCGATCCTGAGACCTCCGAATGCGTGCACTACGAGCCCATACTCGCCGAGCCGCGGAGGAGAAACATCCTCCTCCCTCGTGAAGTCCTCGAGAAGCACGCCGAGGTCGAGGTGCGAAACGACTTGATTGACTGTGCGATCGACGTGTGCTCCGTGGATGTGCCGGTGCTCTTTAGCGAGAACTTTGATTATCAAGATCTGAGAAGGGACTTTGTCCACGGAGTGCTGACGAGCGACTTGCTGGGCAAGTCTATATACTGTCATGTGGTTGAACAGGGATATGCAGCTAGGGTGAGGGATACGAAGTCGTACGCAGCGGTCAGGTGAGACTTTCTGCGTGCCGACTGGGTGGGATGCTCATATGTGTAAAGCAAGGATATCATATCGAGATGGACGTACCCTTTGGTGCCTGGGGACAATCTGCCTGGAGGTGACGAGTACGAGTATCGTCGAGGAAACCGATACATCTCAAAAGATAACGTCATGATGTCAAGGTATTACTATTTACTGCGATTGAGAGGGCAACAAGCTGATTTTGAGGCAGAACATGTACAATAGGAAACGACACAATCCTCGGCCCTTCAACACGAATACACGACAATGCTCGAATAGAAAACTCTGTGATTGGGCCCCGCTGCTCAATCGGACCGGGTACGATCATCCGGGACAGCTTCATCTGGAATGACGCGTACGTCGAAGGCAGCTGCGTGATCGAGGGGTGCATTATCGGCCAGTCAGTGCACATCGGGACGGGCTCTGTGGTGAGGAAAGGGTGCTTGATCGGGGATGGGACGCGGCTGGGGCCGAAGGCGAATGTTGTTGAGTTCAAGAGAATCTCGAGGGAGAAGCCGGAGGATGAGGACGAGGAAGAAGGGGACGAGGAGAAGCATGAGCTTAACGGGCTGGTTAACGGTCTAGCCGACACCGGTATGTTCCTGAACCCTGGAGAGAGGTGGCTCTGACAGAGCTGCCGATAGTGCTGGAGCTGGGGGAGCACGCAGAAGCATACGTTTGGCCAGACACAGTAGGTGCAGATGTCGGTGCGGACGGAAGGTCGTCTTCCGCTGCGAGGGATGCGGATTCAGAAGATGAGGAGACGGAAGCCTGGGGGAACCTCAAGCATCTGCGGATGGGTAAAGCCACGTTCTCCTTTTCCATGCAACCTGCTGACCAGGCACGCAGGAGACGAAGGGTTCGACCCCTACTTCTCCGATACGGACTCGTCGGAGGAAGAAGAAGAGTCGAGCCTGGCCTCGCCTGCGTCCGGGGTTCTGCTCACCCCTGGTGGGCATCCAATCCCCGATTTCACCCTTGGGCCCCGGTCGTCTGCCAACTTCCGGTCAGAGTGTATCTCCTCTCTCGAGCGGGCGCTCGCAGAAGGGCACACGGTGGATGATGCTGCGATCGAGCTGAAGACGCTGCGCATGGCGAGCAACGTTACGATGACCGAGGTGCGCGAGGTGGTGGTGGAGTTTGTGGTGGGACTCGTCAAGGGTGACCCGGGCAGCGCGGTGCAGAAGAATAATATTACCCCGGTCGTCGAGCGCTGGGCGGGGCTGATCATCAACCTCGTAGCGTCGGAGCGGGTTGAGGTGCTTCTGCTTCTTCAGGTGGGTGACGCATCACGGATGTGGATTACGTATGCTGACGATTGATAGAAAACATGTGCTCGGTTACCAAACTACCTGAGCGCGTTTAAGTTCTTCCTTTACGCGTTCTATAATGAGGACATCGTGGATAGCCTCTCTATCCGAGCGTGGCTGAAAGACCCGCGGTCTAGGGAAGGGGTGGGTAAGGCGAGCGAGGGGAATATGGAAGTGTGTTGGAAGCAAGGAGTGCAGACTCTGGCTGTTATAGAGGCTGATGAAGAGGATAGTGAGGATGAGGACGATGAGTAGATAGACTGCTTTGTTGAGTACTAGTCATCAATAATATTATCGTATTCATCGTTTGCAGTCCCGGTGTACACGACCTCTTTCCCACTAGTACACGCCAAGCCCCCACGTACTCCGGCGCAACCAATTAGGGCAGTCCATGTATGCGCATGTTTGGCTGCGTCTCGAGCGGCGGGCTATGACGTTCTCTTGGCGGTGGCTGATGACGCACGCGAATAAGGACCAAGGGGGGGGAAATTGCTTCCGATGTTCGACCGAGTATATGGGGAGAGCCACTAAAGGCCATCCTCGACCTTTGTTCAGTCTTCACTTGTTTACATTTCTACCCTTTACCTCCTATAATCCAACAACAATGCCTTTCACTGGTAGTGATATTATCAAGGTGCGTCCTATACCATTCGCATACACTCTCGTAACACTCTCCAGATCATGTAAGCCCCCTGCACCTGTACATATCCGGCCTCCTAAACAATACAAAGTTTCGCCATCATCTTTCCCCCTCTAGGTGTATTCCTCGAGCGCGGGTGTGGCGTCGAGCTCCTGGTAAGCACATTGAGCTCACAACAAGGGCAGATGTTGACTGACTCGCCCTTGCGATGTAGATCTGCGTCATCGCTACATGTGTGTATATTGGCTTATGCTTAACAGGGATGAAACTGACTGACGTGAAACAGGCTTGGGGTATATCGTGGGTCATATATATGCTCATGAATTACTTACTAACCTTTACCGCGGATCAGCCGGGGATCCTCTACGGTACGCCATGTCTCTTATGCCCCCCTTGACCCATGCTGATGCGCATGAAAGCGTTGTATATTATCCTCAAGTTCTGATCCCATCCCAACCCGACTACTCCGCGGGCCGGTCCATGTCTTCCTGCCGGTGACGCCTTTACGAGCTGTTGACGTAGTCTCTTCCCCCTTTCATGTTTCTTACGCGAGTGTCCTGTTGTCAGAGAGGGCTTTGTAATATCGTTATTAGTGTTTCCTGCGTTGATCGTGAAACTTGAGAGCGTAAGATGTAAGTGGATGACGTGAAGCTTGGGATATCATGAGCGTGATTCTGATCACTCGAAAGACGGGCAAACGGTACCGATTACCTTGCCGCTCGTGCGGGTCGAGGCAAATCTTTCAGTTCTTCTTGTGCCCATCACTCTTCTCTGCAAACAAGAGTACATTCAAGAACTGTCTTCATACAGTTATTTTCGATTCGTCTATCGCCCAGATGTCAACTCCGCTCTCTTCCACCATACCCGCCCGTCCACCATCCGCCTCCTCAGCCCCGCAAGACCCTAACCTCCCCCCAGCATACAACGACAAAGACTGCCTTTCCTGCCGTCTAATCGGCGGGGGCATCCTGGTAGCTTTCGGCGGGCAGATGACGTACGAAGGCCGCAAGCATTTCCGCCTTGCGAAGATGGCGGGCAAAGGGGGCACAGGAGCGTTGGCGATGGGTGGCTTGGGGATTGGGATGATGCTCCTTGGAGTGAGGAGGTTGGCTGGGGGCCGGTGGAGAGCAGGAGGGGAGGATCAGGAAGTGCAAGTTGGGGCGTGAGCGTGGGTTGGGCACGAGGTGATGGGCGATGTTGGATTATCCTGTATCATCTGTATCTAGGTGGGGTCGAAGCTGCGCGCTGTGGAGGGGATGGATGAGATTGGACTTCGACTGTTGTCCTCGTGCCCCCGAAGGAATCCGCTTCGACTGAACGAGGCTGCGAACTTGAGCTTCTTTGGGTTGGGCGCTCGGGATGTCAACCGCTTCGGCTGGATTGAGGCTCTGCGGCTGCGCATACGTACATTGAGCCGGCCGGGAGAGGGGCTGAGTGGATTATTCCCGCTGTTGTACATACTGTATGGATATTAATTTACACTCCTCCTCTGTATTGTTCGATTTGCATTGACGTGGATGTACATTGTCAGGATATGCAATTTTCTGGCAGTGTAAATACCGATTAGGTGATGATGACCTTTGAATCCCGGGACGACGTAAGCGTCCGGCGTAGCATACGCGGATGACGGGCGCTCCTCCCGAACCCTCACCCTAGGCGCCCTATGACTGCGCTCATATCCCTCTCCTCACCGCCTTTCCCCCCTTCCCTTCCTTCTTTCCCCATCACGATATATACTCCCAGCGCCGCAGTTGGAGCTCGGTGCACTGGGGCTGTGGACACTCCAATACTTATGCTTAGTTGACTCGACATCAATCTTCATCATCCTCACTCTGGCTATTAACCCTACGATACGCCACCATCTACTGACGTGCCTGTGGAGCTCTGTCGACTACTTTACATTACACGACACGACAGCTCAGTGACTCTACCTCAATATATCACTGTAGACAACAATGCGCCTCGCATTCACCTCCCCCGACTTAACAAATACGACGCTCATCAATCTCGCTACGAAGAAGCCGGTGTACGAGGTGCTTTCCTCACCCCCGAACTCGGCAGAGAGGTTCACGACGCTGAGACACAGCCCGCCTGATAAAGAGAAGGAGAGGTGGGAAGGGAAGTTTGTTGGGAGCATACAGTGGGGCGATGAGCAGGAAGACCAGGACGAGCAGGAAGAGGGCGCAGAGGTGCAAGAAGGTCTCAGCGACAGACCTAACACCGCGAAGGATGGGAAGGAACGGAAGGAGGGGTGGATCGTTTGGGCCAAACCGGAGGCACCGAGGCGCGAGCTGAGCTCCCTGCTCAGGCCAGTAGACGGCAAAGGGAAACTGTGCGTCTTCCCCTTATTCATACAGAGCCGCTATGCTAATCCCTCGCGCAGAGCACGCGTCTTCACTGGATATATGCGCGCAGACTATATCTGGCAGTTCAGGAACTTCATGCTGCCTCACAAAGCACCGTTACTGCAACTCCTACCTGCCGTATCACCAGACCCGATCGTGACTTTCCGCCCACCGCCGGGCTCATACCTCTTCCGCTCCGAATCCGGGCACACAACAGACTCCTGCCGTTCGCACAGGCGCTCATTCTCCATCTCCCGCTCCCCGTCCAAGGCCCAGCCACGCAAGGACGAAGAACGAGAAGTGACAGAACCGGGCGCACCACATGGATACCTCGAGATCTCCCCAAGGGCGATAGAGATGCTCGACGTTGTGGTTCTCACTTTTCTCATTATGGCTCTTTCGCCTGACACCTCCCCCGGTGTGCGGCGCCCCCTCTCGGGAAGGTTGAGCATGCGCTCTACCCCGGGCAGCGCGAGGTCATGGCCAGGGAGGAAGCACAGTGCGCCCAACTCGGCCGCTGTTTCTTCCGGGGAAGGGACAGGCAGTCTGCCCAGCACACCAAGGGACGAGCTGAACGATGAAGACGAGGACGAGGTGTACTCCCCCGTGCCTGTACATGGGGGGGAGAGGAAAGGCTGGCGAGAGATGTTTGGATGGACGACGCCCAGTCCGACCGTGTTGGCCAACGGGTTCGAGGCGGGCATGGAAAAGCTCCGCAGGTTCAGTTTCCCTGTTATTGGCAGGCCGAGGGTTAACCCTTGAGCTCTTGGGTTTGGGCGATACCCACTGTTGTTTATTTATTCCCTGACTTCATCGGTGTTGTGCGATTCCCTTTATCGTATGTAGTCCTAGTGTAGTATGCGGATACCAGCGCAGTTGTTGTTAAGTAGAAGCGAGTTAATAGACGTTCGATTACCGCAAGATCCACCGTAATGACGGCGATCTGTCCGCAGCTTATTTTGCTACAAGTTCCCGCAACACCCGTATTTGACGCTGCACCATCTCCCTGCTCGGCCCGCCAATAGCGTTCCTGCGCTCCACACTCGCCTCGAAATCGAAGACCTGCTTCACGTCCGCCTCGAACTTTGGACTAAGCTCTTTCCACTGAGCGAGTGTGAGCTCGGAAAGCGGAACCCGCTGCTGTTCCGCGAGGGCGACAGCCCGACCGGAAATATGGTGCGTCTCGCGGAAGGGAGTGCCTTTGCGCACCAGGTAGTCCGCAAGGTCCGTCGCGAGCATGTCCATCGTCAGTGCCGCCCGCATCTTTTCGGGGTGGATCTGTAGCAAGTCTTAGCACATCCCTGGGGTGAAGCGGGCGTGGCTCACGTTGAGCGTTGCGATCACCCCCTCTGCTATCTGGAGCGACGCGGAGATATTGTCCACCGTATCAAACAGCGGCTCTTTGTCCTCCTGCAAATCCTTGTTATACGTCGCCGGCAAGCCCTTGAGAGTCATCAAGAACCCCGCCATGTTGCCGAACAGCCGTCCGCTCTTCCCGCGCAAAAGCTCGAGCGAATCCGGGTTCTTCTTCTGGGGCATGATGCTCGACCCTGTGCTGTATGCGTCGCTCAGCGTGACGAACCCAAACTCGGCGGTGGAGTAAATGATCAGGTCCTCGGCAAGCCGCGACATGTGCGTCATGCAGAGCGAGGACCACATGAGAAATTCGACGATGAAGTCCCGGTCTGCTACGCCCCACATGCTGTTCTCGGCTAGGGAGTCGAACCCCAGCTCCTGACGCAGGAACTCCCGGTCGATCGAGAATGGGTTTCCTGCTAGTCCGCCAGAACCAAGGGGGAGGACGGATATGCGTGGGATGAGTTGACGGAGACGGTCTAGGTCGGAGGCGAAGGAAAAAGCGTGGTAGCAGAGAAAGTGTGACCAGCGGATGGGTTGACCGCGCTAGGCAGAATTCAGCAGCCGCACTCCGAGCATATGCGGGTAGACTAACCTGGAGATGGGTGTATCCCGGCATGAGGACGGAGATCTCCTTATCCGCACGCTCAGTCATGACCCGAAGCAAGTCCTTCAAAGCCGACTCGATGTTCTTGACTTCATCGAGCAGCCAGAGTCGCATATCGGTGGAAACCTGGTCGTTTCGCGAACGACCGGTGTGGAGCTTACCTCCGAGGGGACCGATGAGCTCAATAAGCCTACGCTCATTGGCTGTGTGAATATCCTCGTCATCCGGCTGGATGTCGAACTGGACTGCATTGAGTGGGAGAAACAATGTATGAAAAGCTCGGCGCACATTGCCATCCTCCCATTCTTTGAGAACAGCTTTCAGACCGCTGATCGTCTTAGATTCCTCTTCCTTAGTGAGAATTCTCTTCAGACAATTCGCCTTTGCGTATGCGATAGAGCCGACGATGTCTGCCTTGTACATGCGCTTGTCGTACTTGAGCGACTGGTTGAAGTCGTGCATCCTGCAGTGATGAATGAGTTGTGTCAAGCTCCGACATAAACAGTACTGACAGAGGATCCGTCTTTCCTGTAAACCTCCCTCCCCATAGCTTTTGTTTTGCGGGTACTTCGGACATGATGATAGCGTAGAAGAGGGAAACGCCAGCCAACACAGATGATTCCTTCAAACTCAACTGACACTTGATCGGTTCGGAGGCACGTGATCAAGTGACTCGATCTCGTGTTTTTGTCGGAGGCAGGGTCACCTTCGATCGGCGATCATCCATGTTCCCTGTGAGCTTGGTTGTACAGAACACCCGGCCAGGTCCGAGGGCACAAAGTCAGCCGCGACTTGCAGAGAAAGAGTGTGACGACACCAAGAAAGTGGATACGAAAGCGCTGGAGCAATATGTAGTTGTAATGCTTAACTACTGTACATTGCAGACATGCGAACATAGCAGGACTGTCTAGTGGTCTGCCTATTGACCAGAGCGCCGTGCTTTAAAACGCGAGGCCTTCACAGGTGATGCAGTAGACTGACCGGTCGCACCTGTCGCTTCTGGCAGTAATACAGGATTCACTTTCATTTGTCTCTCGAAGACTGTGCTTGATAAAGCTGTCCGACGCGTTGTCTGCGACAGTACTTGTTCTTCTTGAACGGACTCCGGCGGGGACTCCAGCGGGGACGATGTCTTTGGAACTTCCGAAGTTTGCCGGGCAGCCATGAACTTTGACGTCCTGGGTTGAGTAGAAGAAGCCTCTACAGATTTTACATTCGACGAAGTCACGGCTGGAATTGTGGGCTCTGTACCAGACACAGTCACCCGCGTTGATGTTGATGTCTCGCCGCCGCGTCGCAGTGCTTCGATCATTTCATAGCCTTTGGGCCCGATATCTGCTTCGTCTTCCACCTCGTCCTCTTCATTCACGACAAGCTGGCCTCTGTTGTCTAGCTTTCCGGACCGTACGACGCCAACGAGATCTTTATCAGATATCGTGGTGCCAGGAGGCAGCACGCATGTGGCTAGAAAAGAGCGAGCGGCGCGAGCGGATTTGAAACGAGAGGCGATATAGGTCTTCCTACGTCCACTGGACGGACTCAAAGTTTCTACCTTGGTGATGATCAGCATAGAGACGGTATTCTCAGAGATCTGTCTCACATCTTCTGGGTCCCAACCTTCTCCTGGCACAGCAATCTGACCAAACCCAGCAAAGGACCCGATACTCGCTCGCAAGTCTTCTCGCTTGGAATAGTACATTTCAGCAGCTTCCCGTTGCAGCATGGCTGTATCAAAGTCTTCGCCAGACTCAGTGCCCTCTTCGTCGTCGTCTTCAACCAACTCCTCGTCTTCATCCAAATTTGCGCGATGATCTTGGGCCAGGATAGTATAGAAGTCATCCTCGTCACCATCGAAATCGGAGTCATCGTCAGAATCCTCGACGATCTCAATCTTCGCTCCGCTGCTGTTGGCGGAGGCGGCGGCAGGCGTCCGCTCTACAACATGCAGCTTCATGGGTTGCTCGGCTAGAGTTCCAGAGTTCCTGGAGTGTAGGCGGCCTATAACGACATCTCCCATTTCGCCTATCGGTTCTGCCTCATGTTTGGCTTCATTACTAGCACCAGCGGAAAACGTGACCCTCTTGCTCGGTTTCCCATTCGATTGAGGCCGAGAAGTAGGGAAATCAGATTCGGCTTGGGAAGATTTTGTTACTGTCTCAGATGCGTGGGAGTACGGGGCTTTTGATGATATTGAGGATCGAGTAGTTTGTGCTGATTTGGAAGGCATTGATCGTTGCTGGTACATTAACTTATTCGTTGCGGCAAGCGCCTTCGCCATATTATCTGCCGCCCTCTCCTTCTCCTCTTTCAATGTCTCCACGGCTTCTCTCTCAGTTTGAGTTGCTCGTTTCCTTTCCTCTTCCTCCTCTTCTTTCTCCAGCTCGTCCAGTATCCGGTCCACGTCCCGTCGCCGTTCGTCCTTCTGAGCTTCTGTGAGGGCGGATAGAGGTATATGAATTGTCGCTTGAGGCACAATTGAAGAAGGGCGCAATCCATCGCTCATTCCAGCATTTTCTGTTATATCAATCACGGGTAACCCCTCTTCATTCAAGATCTAACTCCAATAAGCCTGTTTCGCCACTTAAGCAGACCCAATACGTACCTGGCCCTTCTCATTATGCTTCACCAGTGGGCCAGAATTTTCGTCTCCAAGTATTTGGTGGAGTTTCTTTGCCAATTCCTGCGCTGATCTCGTATCAAGCGCCTTTGCACCATTCTGTGAACGCTGGGTGCCCCTAATGTCCAGCGAAGAGATGAGCTGAGCTAAGCCTTGAAACGCGATCAACCCCCATCTCAATTCCTATAAAAAAGGAAATTTACCGCTTGTGTCTGTCACTGACATGCTGTCTTCTGTTGTAGATGATGAGTGCATAGCCAACCGAGACGGAGATGGAATATGTGGATCGCTGGTGTAGGCTACGAATAAATCAAGTCAGCTTGAATAGCACTCGGATGTATATTTTCCTCTCAGGGACCACCAGTCCTCCCTAACTTTTTCCTTCTCGAACTCATCCCACAACTTTGGCTTTCAGTGTCGTTTTGCTTTGGAATATCTCAACATGGCACCATCGACATCCGTTGCAAGAATTGCTGCCAGCTCTTTAAAGCCAAAAAAAGCAACCCGTCAGAAGTCTTCAATGAAAGAAGCGTTTCTTCCCACTCAAGCAGGAGGGTCAGCAGATGAAGACGTAGAGCTGGACGAGGACAGGGAGAACTGGGCATCAATGCGACTCGAGGACGCTCCGGAAATGAATCAAGACGAAGTGATGATCGACGATGCTGCCGTGCCAACGGAACGAGCCCCTCAGATTCCGTCACTCGAATCCGCTGGTCCTTCATTCCCCCCCCTTTCTGCCGCCGCTCAACGAGTGTATGTAAAAACGGACAGTCGAAAGATAGCGATACCACCGCATCGAATGACACCGATTAAGAAGGATTGGGTCCATATATTTACACCGCTTGTTGAAATGCTGGGCCTGCAAGTACGAATGAACACGCGCAGGGGATGTGTGGAGCTTCGGGTGTGTTGAAGCCTAAGTCGAGGCCGAATTTCTATTCATGCTTTGACCAGTCATCCAAGCATACCGACGAGACTGGAGCACTCCAAAAAGGTGCTGAGTTCGTAAAGGCGTACGCGTTGGGTTTTGATGTCAACGTACGTGTTCTGCCGTTGCGATATTGCACATGATCTGACCTACAGATTCAGGACTGTCTCGCCATCCTCCGGATGGATGATCTCTACATCGACACATTTGAGATCAAGGACGTAAAGACGCTGCACGGTGATCATTTGTCCAGAGCTATAGGTGGGCGTACTCTCTCTGCACCACATCTGATGTGATACTTACATTTCCCAGGCCGTATCGCTGGTCAGGATGGGAAGACTAAATTCACCATCGAAAATGCTACTCGCACGAGGATAGTGTTGGCAGAGACGTGCGTATTCCTACATTGTGTCACATTATGTTGGCCAACGCTCTTTACAGTAAGATTCACATTTTGGGGTCGTTCCAAAATATCAAGATTGCTCGAGACGCCATTAGCAACCTCATTCTTGGTAGCCCACCAGGTAAAGTGTATGCCTCCCTTCGAGTCATTGGGGCTCGGATGAAGCAGCGGGCATTTTAAGAGTTTATTGGTCTGCTTTATCTTCTTTGTTCAATGCGTTTGTAAAATCCACTGGTTTGCATCCGAGAAAGAGCAGCGCCGAGATGCATTTATGTCATGTGGCATTGATTGCAGGAGTGAACTACCCGGACTAATGGAGGATAACCACAATGTGAGGACGTAGTGCACAAGTGACAAATACAGGAAGGAGTAAGCATATCGAGAAACAAAAAGGATTCAGGTCCGCAGTCTTCTAACGATCCTCAGCCCATTCCTACGGACTGTGTTGAGCGCATCGTCATCCAGCAGTCATTGGGCACTTACGTTCTCCTTCTTGATCTGTGCCTCCTCTTCGGGCGTGAAGTCATTGACGATGTTAAAAAGCTTGCGGATCTCCTCAGGCGACTTCCCCTTGATCATGTTAGCGACGGTCTTGCAGCCAACATCACTAAACAAACAGTCAGTAAATAGGTTCTTCTCAAAAAGGAGATCTTACAGGAGGGCTTTGATATCGAGATAGTTTGCAGCCTTGGGGCATTGCCTGTGTTAGAAAGGACAATATACGCGCCTCATGGAATACGTACGAGGATGATCTCGAACCTATTTTTATGGTATCAGTCATCTTCGATAGCACTGGGACTATGGGCAACTCACAGCATCTCTTGATCCACAGCGATGAACTTCTGATCCCACTCGCTGATATCTGTAGTCCTCTTGCGGGTATCATCCTTGTCCTCGTTCTCTGGAGGCGCAGGGTCATCCTTGTGGTGCTCGCACCACTCGAGGACCTGATCCATGGCTGAGCACATCCTCCGACATCATTATCAGTAAACACACCTTCTTCAAGACGCTCGCAGTAACGTTGGGAAGGGGGATTGCCTGATCGCTCTCTCCGACATCTATGGTGAGCATGGATAGTCAGGAAACGCTGGACAGAGCGGTGGCGACGTTGACGTACCCTCCAGCATGTTCTTGATGAGGACGCTCTTCTCAGCGACCTTCTTGTCGACCGTAAAGGTCTCGTTATCAGAGGTAGTCAGAGTGACCATGGTGATGATTCTGTCAAAGTTTTGTGGATGAGAAACGGGTGAGGAGGGAGGAGATGATCGTGCGTTATGAAGTGGTACGCGCGGGCGGAAACTAATTGTTCAGAGGGTGGGAAGACCCCAATAACACCCTTGTCCCGCACACAACGGACCCCCTTCTCCCTGCCCGTTGTCACTACGATATTTACCAGTCACGTATTCATCTCAGGCTGCACTTCTAGTAAGTTCTCCCAATGTATTGATCTAGGCACCCCAATCAAAAACCAACCCAGTCACAGATTTCCTAACTGTTGGCGTCTCATCCCATCCCCTCCTGATATTCAGGCGCCGCTCGGATTCATTGTTAACACGTTGCAAAACCGACGACTGCCATGTTCGAACTCGCCCGTAAGGCTATAAATAACTTTTGGTGGACCAGACCAGGTATTCCTGCATATATTCTCGATTATGCGGAACTGAGATTGAAATACCTCTGCGCTCAGGTTTCATCCAAGTACGAACAGCAACAAAGCGAGCGGCAGGTAGCTCACGGAATCATGGAGGGTCAGGAGGAAAACGGTTAGGCCTGAAAAAGTTTTCTGGTCAGTAAATAGCACCACTTTTGAAGAACATCGGCCTGACGAGGGGTGTTAGACCAGGAAGTGCATCCAGGTTGCATAATAGTTCGACAACGAGGGACAAAATTTCACCCAGGCCAACATGTTTGTTGGATTTTAATCGCGTCGTACAGGTTTTAACGAAAGGCAATTATCTAGGTTGGGATGGGCCGTGATCACACCTTGTACGCTCTTACGCCTGGTTATGTCCGGTTTTACACGCGACTCTTCCGAGGTAAGGATCGAAAATACATTGGTATCGTGATGAACCGTGGAGATGTGCTGCCGCGCGACGAGGCAGAGTGTGGCCGATCACGATTCTTTGGCGCAACAGAGCTCACTGGTAACATGTTGCCTGAAGTTGATGGCGCCCCTCTCGCAGCGCATGCCTGAAAGGAGATCACTTGAACGGATGTACAGTTACTAGTTACATAATCAAACGAGTTCGAAATACCGTTCCACTACGATTTTGTTCAGTGTAGCTTGTGTGAGATCTGCGAGTAACATACCTTCCCAGTTCGTGACCGCCTCGTTCCAGAGGGCAACCTCGTGCATCCGAGTTCCACCAAAGTGATCGACGAATTTGTCACCTAATATCTCCCTCGCTACGCTCCCTCGCCGCATCATGCGCTCGGCACCGGCTTCAAGGCTCATTGGCAACTTCGTCACGTTCTCTCTAGTGACCGACGGATCCGACAGAGGGGGACAGTGCAGCACCATCTTCTTCTCGATACCCCGCAAGCCGAGTAGGAAGATAGCAGAGAATGCGAAGTATGGATTCATATCCGCTCCTGGTACGCGAATCTCGAATCTTGTAGCTGTAGCAGGAACACCGGGAGGTGCGAGGACGCGGATTGATGCTGCACGAGAATCGTAGCCGTAAGTTACTGCATTAGGCGCCCAGAAGTTCTGCCATTCCTGGTTAGCATAGCGTCTCACTTATGTAAATGTGCTGACTTCTCCCCCGATTAAACGCTTATATCCGTTGATAGTGGGTACAAGCTAGAGCGAGTGTCAGAAGGAATCCGACGAACTGGCTTGAAACGCACCATGGGAATAACTTTTTGTGGTACTGACTCAGGAACAAGAACGTAAGCACGAAACGAAGCACGCACCATCAGGCAATCCGTCGAGAACGCCTGCCAGGAAGCACTCCCCCTCCTTGCTCAGAAACTGCACGTCTGGATTCGCAGCATCGCGCCGGGGTTCCTTCGATTGCCATGAGAAGATGTTCTTGCCATCAACATCGCGGAGAGAGACGTGAATGTGTCTATGACAAATCCAGCAACCCATAGAAAAGAAGAAATATTGTACTCGCCCACTACATCCAGGGAGCTACGGAAGTGATATTAGCACACATCGAACAACATCAGAAATCTGCGCACTCCTGCCCACGGTTTTGCCATGAATGTTGGCAGTACGCCAAGCTGCATGCCCACACTCTTGGCCAAGAGCTTGAACAGTATTGCGTTGTCGGCCATACGTAGAGCGGAGGTATAGGCCAATGCCGTCTCAAAAACACCTGTGTTGGGCTTGTTACAATATTCAACGCGGATTGGATAGGCGCTAGTCACACCTGGACCAGTCTCTGTGTCTGAGGAAGCATACGTCAGCAGGCTTGATATAACATTCACCAGACGAGCATATGCTCACGATGGCCTTCAATATCAATACCAAATTTAACGCTTTCATCGAATAGTTTTGTAAAATAATCTTGGTTCAATGTTGTGCGCAGTAATGAATATCCGTGCACTAGAACGAATCAGATCGGTCCGGGCCCCAATGAGGCGAATTGCTGACTCCCAGTCGTCATTGGGGATAGTTCGGAGTATTTCTTGTCTACTAATGACTGAGGGGTCTCTATGGCTGTATGAGCTGCAGATATGTTTTCTGAGGAAATGGTCGTGCCTTTGAAGTTGAAATACTACCTCACACGCCGTTAGAATCGGAGGTGTGCAAGGGGCCAAGCCAAATATTCACCTCATACTCGGCACCGGCCATGCATTGCCATCCTTTTGCAGACGCCTGATCCATGGCCTTCTTGATGACGCTTCTCGGGTCTGCAAACACCGGCTCTCTAGTATCGGGATCGAGGAAGGAGACAAAAAAGAAGGGCACATCGCCTTCCCAGGGTATACGGCGGTACGTTGTCAAGTCGATCTTGGCGAGGAGATCACGGTATCCAGTAGCTTTGTTGGATATTAGGAGCTCTTTGGAATACACAGAGTCATGCATATCCCATCCACTGACATTCCATTAGCATCACGCGTAGCTGAATCAGATATAACGAACAAAATAACGCTACAAAACCCGAATCCGTCTCCTTCGACTGCACTAATAAGCTTTTGCTTTGACATGTACTTCCCTCTCAGGATGCCATCCACTATGCAGGGAAATGTTGAGGACATTGGAGGAATATATCGAATCAATTTGCTGTACCGTCAACACCTGTTATAATTATCAGTCCTCTTACTGAGGCACTAAAGTGAAGCATGCGCACCTGCGACCTTAACCTTGATGTCATTCGATAACAGCTGCTCGAGTTCCTTCAACGTCCGGGGGGCTCCTGGGGTTTCGACTGGGGTCGGCATGCCAACAGCTCCGTGGTTTGACGCCTTTAGTTCAAGGATACAGCCACAACACAACAAAATGACTCCAGAAAGCAGATAATATATGAAGATATCCGGGGTACAAATAGACAGAGAAGGCCGCCTTTAGGGTGTTCAGTTCAAGAGAGAGCGCTGAAGGAGAGCTCCCCCCCGGAAGGAGATAGTGACGTCGTCGAGGGCGCAGGGTAGAATCACGTGATTAACGCGTGACGGAGGTAAACTTTCGTGTCCATTGCCTGCAAGGGACGCGTCGCGCGCTTCCTCCTTGACCACCACATTCCTGCGGGCGCGCATCTTCTCCAATCTCTATTCTTGCTCAACTAGGTGGAGTCTAAATAACTCATTAATATGGACGTCCGTCGAAGAATGACCTTATCTCAAGCCGACCCGAATGTCCCCATTCACTCCAATATCCCCGTGCCAGCATCCGCCATGAAGAAGCGACCACAGCCTGCACACATGCCCCCACAGGATCTCCGTACTTCAGGCAAAGCTCGGATGTCTATGGCTGGCCCTCCAGGAAGGACACAACTCCCCCCTCAGCTTTCGGGGTCGCAGAACTCGTCTCAAGGTGTTGCCAGCCAGAATCGACCGAGGCAAACACAGTGGGAGTCGCAGCCAAAGCTCCCACCGATGAGCGCAAGCCGAGGGGATGGAGGGTACTATGGGAGAACACCGAGCCGCAATGCGCCACCAGGCAGGTATGCTACTTGTCCGGCATCAATAGCATTGGCGCTTATACCCGAATAGTGTGCGGCGATCGTCACAATACAGCGGACGTGCTTCGGCAGCGGCCCTTGCACAGATCAATCAACCCAAAACGGAGATGAGGCCCATTCGTGACAAGCAATGGATAGCAATGGCCGCTCAAACAGTGATGGATCACCTTATCGAGAACCGATTTCCCCTTCCATTGGAGAGAAAAATGTTTGATCAAGGCCCAACGCTTAAACTCTTCCAAGCAATGTTCATGTTTTTGACGCACGACGTCCTCTATCCTGGTTACGTGTTCGGCAAAGGCGGGAGAAAATTCGAAGAGGATGTGATTACCCTAATGAAGGATTTGCGATACCCACATGCGGACCAGATCAGTCGAACAGCGCTACAAGCGGCAGGTAGTGGCCACGCATGGCCAGCGACCCTGGCGATGCTCTATTGGATGGTCGAGCTGAGCCAGGCAAAATTACAATGGTTCAACCCCGAAATGTGCGATGACCCGAATCTCACCCCGATAGAGAAGCTCTCGCCGGAACAATCCAACATGCCCGAGCGGTACTTTATCGATTATCTCAACCAAGCCTATCGCGCCTTTTTGGATGGGAGCGACGATTTCTCCGACCTTGACCAGCAACTACGACAGTCTCTTGGTAAGGTAACAATGCACCCGGTATTTCAGGAGCTGACGTTCTCTGGCATAGAGCAAAGCAATGGTGCTGTCATCCAAGAGACCGAACGGAAGGCAGGTCAGCTCAAGAAGACCGTGGCAGAGATTGAGCAGATAATGTCTCATGTCCGTGTTATTCAATCTCCGCGCGTAATTGTCGGTTAACACTTCCGTAGAACGAAAGAGACCAGCTCGAGAAGGAACACGAGCTGCAGCTCGCCGACAGCGTCAAATTTCAAAAAATGATTGAGCACAACAACCAGAAAAAGTCAAAACTGGAAGATGCGCTTCAGGTCCTCAACGCGGCTATTAGCGAAGCAGGTGACTCGTCAGAGCTCCATCATACTTGATGCTGACAATGGACAGAGGAGCGACTTGTTGCGTTACGAACAGAACATGGGGGCTTGCTCAAGGCTGTCGAAGAGCAAAATCTCTCTCCTGAAGAGGCCACGCGGATGACCACTGAGCGCGACACCCTTGCTCGGACACTTAAAGACCTTCATGACCGTGTTGCAGAAGCAAGCAAGACTCAGTGGGAACGGGAAATGGCGGTTGCAAAGCGAGGGAGTTCGATGGAAGACGCAATTCAGGAATACATGCAAGTCGTATATCGCGCCGGCCTTTTCCCCGATGCTCCCAAACCCTTCGATCAAATACAATTCGGTCTCGATGTTAACTTGACCGCACCCCCAGCTGAAATGCTTAACGCTGATATTCGCCATTCCATTCGTCCTGCAGTCACGCGTTTCGGCGAAGAGCGACGACTCGTTCGAACTCGTCTCGACGATGAGCGGATAGTCGTTGAGGACGAACTCGATCGATTAACTCAATTTGTCGAGAACCAGAAGGAAGAATTGGAAAATCGAGAGGTCAGGCTAAATCAGTTGCTTGAGCGTGCTGATGAGATCAGGGAGGTGAGTGCTCGAGGTTTGTCTTGATGACTGTTCCCTCACTGTGTTATCAGCACGCCGCAACAGAAACCGCTGATAGCAACCTTGAGTCGGCGCGGCTGGAGCGCGAAGTCGCGAACATTCGCACTGCTGCACAACAGAGTGCACTTGGATTGGACTCGCGCTTGCAAGCTCTTGAGATTGAGTGCGTGCTCCGCATACTTCTTCCAAATGATTACGCTGACCAATCCATTAGATATGCTGATCTCCAGCACAAGACCGCCAGATTACGGGACGAGGTGCTGAAGGAGGTTGTCAACCACACCGAGGCAATCGTCACGTTCCGGACACAAGTATCCGCGAGCTTGGATAGCCTTGCCTTGTATGCGGAGAATAACTGAGTCAGGTTGTAATTTCTTTGGTTGCTCTGTTTTGAACTCTTTGTATGCATTTGTACTGCTGATGTTGTGGCATAGCCGTAGTTCGAGTTCGATGTACGACAGTGATTTGTACATGTTGCAATTAATCTGTGGACTTCTCATGGCTTACCCAAGTTATTGCACACGGGTGTGGTGTTGAAGGCCGTTCGATCCCGACTCTGGCTTCGATCCTGGTGTCTCACAGCTAAGGACACAAGAACTGTTGGTGAAAATGAAAACGTGCACCTTGATCTATTCCCACACTTCAACACTGTCAGGATGGCATACACAGTAATTCAAGGCTGCTCTCAAGGCACATATTCATAATACACGGACACCATGCTATGCTAACCAACGTTCGCTGTAGGCCTCGGACAGTCATTCGCCCGCCTCTTGCTTGCCCGCACCGACAACCCTGTGATCGCGCTCACGCATTCTTCACTGGACCAAGTCAAGCACGCCCTGCTCTTGCGACAAGAAGGGGCAGAAAGCAAGCTCACGGTGCTGGAAGCAGATATCACGAAAGAAGTGGAGCTCAAACGGGCGGCAGAGTGGGTAAAAGAAAGGTATGGACGTAAAATGGGCATGTTGTGCAATTTCGCTGGCGTGGTATGTCTTTCCTCTGACCTAACCGATTTTGATAAAAGCTGAAGAGAGCAGCTGTACCCGGAGAAGAACATCGCTTCGATGGAGCTGGATAAGTTGCAGCGCACATACGAGATCAATACTTTCGGCCATGCGCTCATGTTCAAACACTTCCTGCCGCTTGTGCCAAGGGCATCGAGGCAGGAACGCGAGGAGGCGGAGGGCCCGGGAGAGCAGGGGAGGAGTGTGCTTGTTAGTCTGAGTGCTAAAGTGGGGAGCATCGAGGATAACAGGACTGGCGGGTGGTACTCGTATCGGTCGTGCGTCCCCATTTGCCTATCTAGGGGAGGAGATTGATAGATGTGAAAGGTCGAAAGCGGCGACGAACCAGCTAGTTCGCACGGTGGCTCGTGAAGTGGAGATGCGGAATGTGTGGGCAACAGTCATTGCTTATCATCCAGGCACTGTGAGGACCGGACTCGCGGCTGAGTTTGTACAGGGCAAGTCGGGGAAAGGTATTCATGATGCAGAAAAGGTATGTGATACAAGTCGACGGGATACGTACTTCCTCTCACCAAAAAAAATTCTAGGCCGCTGAGTTGATGTACAAGGTGGTGACAGAGGTGAAAGCGGTTTGTTTCTCGACTGGAAACACGTTCAGCTGCCTTGGTGAGGCAGTGTGTCAGCACAGCCGCAGCCTCCACGTCATTCGACATGTGAATCGATGGATATGCGCTATCAAAACAACGAAACGCAGACTGATGATGGCAGGGAGGAGACGGGACAATGGTTGTTGCAAGTGCGATAGGCGAATTCCATTGTTGGTTGAATTACGAATGTCATTGCATGGGTGTTGCGTGGCAAGGTATGAACCTCTGTGGCTCTATTTGTGTTTTTATGTGTTTGCAGGAGGGGGAGAGAATTGAAGGGTATATAAGGTGCCGCGACGCGGGTGGGAGGGATTTCACATATTTTGACACCCTCGTGTGATTGGTCCCCTCCCTTTTCCCCCTGACAGGCGCGCGGGACACGCCCATATTTATTATTCTTCACACGCAATCGCCACTCGATTCCGGTAGTTCGGCGGCATTCGATCGGGGAAATTGAGCGGGTGATTGATTGGAGCATCTCGCCTCTTTCTGTGCCTTTTCGCTTTCCAGCCGAGCACGTTCCCTTGCCTTCCCGCCTCTTTCTCTGTCAGCGGCAGAGGGGGGCGCATGCCGTTCGACCCTGTGCGGGAAGCAGCGGCAAGTGGGAGCGGAGGGGGAGCAGGAGGAGGAAAGAACACGAGGAGAAGGTCGCCTCGCACGCCGGTGTTTACGCCGATCGTCCCTGCGTCTCCTTCGATCAAGAAAGGGTCACTTGCGAATATCCTGAACGACGATCCTACGCTCGATCCGAGTCTCCGATCTCCAGAGGCGCGATTGTCTGGTGGCTACGTCGAGTGTACGTCATCGGTGATTGAGTATCCACCACGTTCGTCGTCATCGTCTCACTCTCTCTTCTTCCCTTCACCGTCCATGGCATCCACCCTCACACAGACGGTCGCCTCCCCTCTCATCGACGCTCCCTCTTCACGCCCTTCATCATCAGCACCTCCTCACTCATTCTCACTCGCCTCACCTCCCCTTCTTCCTCAACAACCACCACCACCTCCTCAACCATCAACATCACTCTACAATCCTACAAAACTTCATCCAAACACCCCTGCTCTCCTCCCAATAACACAACATGACCTCCAACTATTCACACGATCTCGAAACTGGCTACGAAAGAACGTCGACCGTGCATCACTCCCTCCACCTACCCCTGTCTCACTCCCACCCCTAGCCTCGTCTCTTCCAACATTCGCACCCGCACCCACACCATCAAAAGATTTCTCAGACGCAGATGGAATAGGGTACTACCTTCCCCCCGGTGCTGTATTGGACGGGACTACTGAACCTGTCAACAGTGCAAGGCCCACCCCTCCAGTGCAGAATATCGGCGGGTATTCACCGAGTAGACCCATGTCGGGCAAACGAGCCAGGGAGGACGAGATCGCTTTCACACCTCCGTCGAAACGCCGTGCACCGTCTAGACCAGGTGACGACGTCTCTGTCGTTGCCGGTCACTGTAAGCCCCCGAGGTTCATATGGCAAATTTTCTATTGATTGGTCTGCAGACAATGCACGCCCTGAAGTTGGGCGTACCGCAAGACGCGAGTCGCCCATCATCGCACTGAAAAACTTCAACAACTGGGTCAAGTCTGCTCTCATACAAAAATATGGCCGCAGCGGTGGACGCGGTTCACGCATTCGTGTGCTCGATATTGGCTGCGGCAAGGGTGGTGATCTACAGAAATGGTCGAAGAACGGCGTCAGCGAATATGTCGGCCTGGATATCGCGGAGGTGTCTGTGAGACAGGCAGAAGAGAGATACTTGGACATGAGGCAGAGGAGGATGACAGCGTACTTCCAGGCGATGGACTGTTACAGAGTGAGTTCCTTGCGGGCAGCCTTTCAGTCATCCATTGACACTGAATCCCAGAAATCAATACGCGACCTCCTCCCGCAGGACATCTTCTCCACCCCCTTTCAGACGGTGACAATGCAATTCTGCATGCATTACGCTTTCTACGCCGAACAATCCGTCCGACAAATGCTCGAGAACGTGTCTACCAATCTCGCAACGGGGGGAACATTCATCGGCACAATCCCCAACGCAGAACACATCCTTGCCAATCTGGCGTCTTCGGGCGAACTGTCATTCGGAAACCCCGCATTCAGGATAACGTTTGAGGAGCGCCCGCCTACACCCCCAGCCCCGAGCGACCCGGATCAATCATCCGCATTCGGGCATAAATATAGCTTCTTCCTACAGGACGCGGTCGGGGGGGAGGACGGGGGTGTGCCAGAGTACCTCGTCCATTGGCCCAACTTTGCTCGGTGAGCTCGCGTGTCCCGCATTCGGCTATATAAAGTACAGGCACTGATAAAGAGTTTCTGTCCAAATAGGCTCGCTGGGGAGTACGGACTTGTGGAAGAGTATAGAAAGGATTTTGCTGATCTCCTAAACGAGGAACAGGACCATGAGGTGTTCGGGCCGCTTTTGCGACGCATGAAAGTCGTGGATGCGGATGGCTTGAGTGATATGGACGAAGAACAGTGGGAGGCTGCTAGTAAGAGACCAGATTTAGGTCGAACAACGCTTGCTGAACTTTGTTAGGCATTTATATGGCATTTGCCTTTCGAAAAGAGCAACCTGGGGAGGCCGGCCAGTCGGCACGTACTTGCTCTGAACAAGACAATTAGTCGTGTTCTGCACAAAATACTCTACTGTAGTATTACAGTTTCCATTCTCATATCACACAACTGGCACAGTGGGAACGTGGGGCCGCAATGGGGACAGGTGATGGTGAGGCAGTTCAAGAATAGACAATGAAAACAAACAAACGAAACATTGGAAGTACAAATAATGAGGAACTGACCCGGAAAAACAATTACTCCTGCCCGAAACCAACGGTTTCCCTAACAAAACCATGAGAAAATGGGTGAGTGCAAATAGTGTGATGCTTACTCGACGGCTAAGGTCAACTTCTTCTCTAACGTCTCGTAGTCCTTGTATGGGGGGAGATCGATTCTGTTAAAGCAAGTATGACTCTTTGGGAGACCATTTGGATCACCCGACTTTTCGATGGTGAACCGCCTAGGCCCATCAGATCCTTGAAGGTCCTTGAACCCGTTAACAGGGATTCGGGATGTACCGGTGGCAAATTGCAACAGACGGCTCTTGCGTTCCGGCTGCCAAGACCTGACACACTTCCAGAACCATTGAATAACTTCATCATTCATCTCATAGCCTCGGTAATCGGTGAATTTCGTCCAGTCGTCCATATCGACCTCCGACATGCCGCCAATGAGGAGTTCCAGTTCACGCTCATCGAAGACATTGATCAGCTCCTGCGGAATTAACTCCAGGAATCCGACCATGAAGGCATCAAACTGCTCTTTCACTCGCTTAGATATCCTGTACTCAACGACGGCGCTGGGAGAAATCATCAACAACGGCTCTGTTGCTTTCAATCCAGTCTACTTACTCGACATATTCCTTCTTGTTTTCTTGAGTAACAGGGAAATTGGCTCCCCCAGGCTTCAGTTCAACTGTTACCATCTCGCCGAAGCGATCTTCAGTCGTAGTGAATGTCTCGTCGATCACATCGGTGATGTCGTTTTCTCTGAACACAATGTAAATGAGCAGGGGTCACTCCGCACGACTTTTAAGCTTACAGCATCCACGTCATGCCACGATGCAACTCTACGTCTACACTCTCCAGATCTGCCAGCACCACCTTCTTTCGCAGAACCATCTTGTAAAACGCGACAATGAAGTACGCATCCAGGAATCGTCTATGAAAGATGGCAAGACCGACGCATCGTCCGATGAACTTGAAATAATTGAGATGCTCGGGGTTTACTCCCGAGGCTGGATTGATTTGGAGCGTGTAATTGTCGTGTGCTGAGTATTCGAAAAGACAATAGAAGGGATTGAACATTTCATGTGACAGAAGGAAGAAAAACTCCCTAGAGCATACGTCAGAATCGCGACATTGGGATAGACGAACGAATAATATACCTGGACAAGCCACCGTAGTCAAGGCCATCTTCACCATCAAATTTGATCATCAGACGTTTCTTAAGATCATTAGGTGTTTGACGCATGATTTCGGCATAGCTATCCTCAAATATGTGATTTCTCCGAACTTTAATCTGGCAGTTTCCAGGCGTCGGACGCAGCGCAGGTTGGCTTCGGAAATAGATCAGCTTGCGCCTGAAGTCACGCTTATATTGCGGGACGTTCTGATCTAGCGAGGACGGCAAACGTGGGTCATCCCAGGTTGTTGTCTTGGTGTTGTGATCTACGAAATAGACGCGGGCAGTCGATGTGAGACGCATCTCCCATCCAGAGGGTAACGGTCCAAGCTGGGATACAGTGGTAGGTTGCAAAGTGGGGTGATTGTTGTTTGGTCCCAAGACTCGGATGAATTGTTGACGACGGGGATCGACCCAGGTCGTGGTGCGAGTATTATGGTCAACATAATATGGCCGACCCTCAGGTGTATGCCGTTCTTCCCAACCGGCTGGCAGTGGCCCAGATCCGGCTGTCGTTGGTGTGGTGGTAGATGCGACCACAGGAGTCTGCGTGGGGGCAACAGAGGAGGATCGACTGCCACTAACCGAAGTTGAGGTCTCTAGCATCTCATCAACGAGCATGCGGCCGTCATGTCTAGCCCGTGCCCCTTGCACCTGACCTCCTCGTTCCGCGTCATTGACAGAGGGATTTAAAGATGGGCGATTCCAGGTGGTTGTCCGAGTATTATGATCAACGTAGTACTGGCGACCAAGGTGGTCTGTGCGTCGCTCCCAACCTGGCGGTAATGGTCCTTCCCGATCTTCATGCGGATTGAAGTTGCGTGGAAGGGACGAGGTAGTAACCGCTGTATCCGGGGTTGCATTTGCATTGGTGGTGGCGGTTGCAGCTGTTGGTGTCCCGGCATTGACAGCAGGATGGGAAATTGCGGTGCTCTGTGCAGGGAGGATCGAAGCCGCGACTTGCGAAGACGCCCGGGGCGTGGCGACATTCTCCAAGGGCGCGGTCGTACTGTTCGCGTTTGAGGACGAGACCTGGGCGGTAGCATTTGTTTCCGCATTGCTAATTCTGCTCGCCGCTGATGTCGAGTGATGAAGATTGGCGACCGCCGATGAGCTGGGCGCAAGGGAAACTGAACTCTGCCCCAAATCCGGAACACCCAAGTTCCCGGAGACTTGAGACGGGCCAGGATTGGTAATGGGTATAGTCGTGTTTGTTGACAGGTATATGATGAGCTTCCCATGCACAATTTGATTGTCGTTGGACTTCTTCAGGTCGAGTGTGAGCATCTCTGTCGCAAATGTAAGAATGGGAGACGAGTGTATGACCTAGCAAACGCACCTTGACCGCCCAGCTCGAAGTCCAACACCTCACTGACTCTAACATTCACCACGCCGAGAAATCCCTGGTCCTTGCGCTTGAATTTGCGCTGATCGAAAATCTGAACAGCAACGACGGAGGAATCTTTTACAGTCCTGAAAGCGAGTAGTCAGCGACTGGGAGCACACCAGATCAACAGTCCGTACAAGTCGAAGTTCTCGTTCCAATATGGATTGAGAGTTTTCTTTATTACGCTTGTTGTATGGGTTTGTTCAGAGTCAACAGTGATAACAGCGAAGGGATCCGGCAGACGAAGGAGATCGCGCTTGACCAGGCCATCTGCCGCAACAACTGTAGGAGAGCCAAAGGTTGAATAAGATGAACCCGACAAACATAACGATGATAGTCCTACCAGTAATCCTAATATTCTGAGTCCTGTACACTGTTAGCAAATATAATAAGGACAACACAACGAGAGGCCTTACAGCGACCTTCTTGAGGACTCTGTCATGACAAGATATGATGGATGAGAGAAAGCAACGGAGATGTCGAGGGCTGTACGGGGACACCGTTTGAGGAAAGGAGGCTATGCAACGGATAAGAAAAGTCGACGGAAGCATTCCTTGGTTGTGGGCACCACCCAAGAAATATCATTGTGTAACAATTACATTTGACAGAGCGAATGTCACAAAACTAACATCATGGTAACAAAAAGGTACCACGGCAGATACAAGGAGCGCATGCTAATTGCAACATATATCGCCACAACAATAGGAACTGGAATCATGTCACACGCCCAGAATCCTTCTGTCAGGAACATTAATATTTCTCACTCAACGCCGAAGGTATCTGCTTCTCTGTAGAGTAACACATGAGCAAGGAGGTAATCCGCAAGTCCCGGGATACGCACTCTATTGCAAATATTAGCTTCCTTTCCAAACTCTCGTAATCCTTGTAAGGCGGGAGATCAATGCGATTGAAGCAAGTGTGGCTTTTCGGGAGGCTTTCCGGGTCACCAGACTTCTCAATGGTGAATCGCCTGGGACCATCCGACCCCTGAAGGTCCTTGAACCCATTGACAGGAATTCGTGATGTTCCAGTGACGAATTGCAGCAGCCTGCTCTTGCGTTCCGGCTGGAAGGACCGCACGCATTTCCAAAACCATTGGATCACTTCATCGTTCATCTGATAGCCACGGTAGTCGGTAAACTTGCACCAGTCATCCACATCAATCTCGGACATGCCGCCGATGAGCAATTCCAGTTCCCGTTCGTCGAATGTGCGAATAAGATCTTGAGGTATGAGATCAAGATACCCAGACATGAATGCGTCGAACTGTTCCTTCACCCTCTTGGATATACGATATTCTACAACAAGGCTGATAGGAAGTCAGTTGAAGCCGCAATAAGGTGGTCAAGATTCAAGCTTACTCGACGTATTCTTTCTTGTTCACCTCGGTGACTTCAACGTCAGCTCCTCCTGGTTTCAACTCCACTGTGACAAGTTCTCCAAATCGTTCCTCTGATTTGGTGAAGGTCTCATCGATAATATCGGTGATATCATTTTCTCTGTTCCCCGAATCAGCTGTCTTCTACGCAACGAAAAAAAAGTGCTCACAGCATCCAAGTTAAGCCTCGAAACAGCTCGGCATCCACGCTTTCCAGGTCAGCCAGTGTGACCTTTTTCCCGAGAACCATCTTGTAGAAGCTGACAATGAAGTAAGCATCCATGAAGCGACGATGAAATACAGCTAGTCCAACGGTTCGACCGATGAAACGGAAGTAATTCAAGTGTTCAGGGTTAATTCCAGAGGCGGGGTTGATCTGCAAGGTATAATTGTCGTGTGCGGAGTACTCAAATAGACAGTAAATGGGGTTGAACATTTCATGTGATAGCAAGAAAAAGAATTCCCTGGTGGATGAAAAGTTCAGCACCATCACCACAGAACAGTGGTGCTACCAACCTCGACACGCCGCCGTAGTCCAAGCCATCTTCGCCTTCGAACTTGATCATAAGCCGCCGCTTCAAGTCCTCAGGGGTTTGACGCATTATCTCGGAATAGCTGTCCTCGAACAAATTGTTGCGCCGTACACGAACCTGGCAATTTCCTGGCAATGGTCTCATGGCCGGCTGACTACGGAAATAGATAAGTTTGCGCCGGAAGTCTACTTTGTATTTCGGCGTGTCCTTGTCCACCGATGACGGCAAGCGCGGGTCGTCCCACGTTGTGGTCTTCGTGTTGTGATCAACGAAGTAGATACGGTTGCTGGCAGTGAGCCTCATCTCCCAACCAGAGGGTAGGGGTCCGAGCTGGGACGAGGACGAAGATGCGCCCACAGTTTCAGCTGGGGTGCCTTGGGGTCGGAATACAGGGCGGCGAGGATCCTGCCAGCTCGTGGTTCGGTTGTTGTGGTCGACATAATAAGGCCGACCCTCTGCGGTGAACCGCTGTTCCCATCCCTGAGGTAAGGACCCAAGAGATGGATCTGTGACCCCAGCAACCCCTGTCCGCGTCTGCGCACCAATCGCATTAGCCGAATGGGCGGGAGTTACAGCACCAGATACAGTGCCAAGCATGTCATCCGCCAGCGACCGTCCTTCGTGTCGGGTTCTAGACCTAGCCAAATCGGCCCCTTGTTCCATGGGTTGAGCATTGGCGACAGGTGGCGGTCTTCTCCATTGAGTAGTGCGAGTGGAATGATCCACATAATATGATCTGCCGTTGACTTCCCGACGCTCCCAACCAGGTGGAAGAGGGCCAAGCTCGTCCTCCGTCTGTGCGCCCTGCGTAGGACCAGATCTATGCGCGGGGTTGGGGTTGGCGGGAACAGCAGATCCAGAATTCACCATTTGGGCAACTGGTGCGGGAGCTACGTTGGGAGCGTAGGGCGACGCGGCCTGAGGAGCGATCTGCTCCTGTGCCGGATTCACTGACATTCGCTGCATGCGATTCGTCATGTTGGAAATATTCGTCAACCCGCTTGATGCACGAGAGTCAGGCCGCTCCGAGGATGTGTTCAGTCCGGGACTCAACGATTCCACAGCGCCGGCGGTACCTGAAACAAAGCTTTGGCGCGGGGACAGTGCTGGGGACGTATTCGATACGGGAAGGTTGACAGGATTGGAATGGGACGTAGAAGGTGCGCTGAGCTGGCTGATGTTCCCAGACAATTGAGAGGGACCGGGATTGGAAATGCGCGTGGAGGTATCCGCAGTTAGATATATGACCAGTCGACCCATGACTGGCATATTCTGATTAGAGGGTTTAAGTTCCAGAGTGAGCATCTCTACAAATATAGGACGTTAAGACGGGTCCTGAAATTCCTGGACAAGATAACACACCTTGATGTCCACTCTGCCAGTCGAATACTTCATCCAATCGTATCATGACCAAACCCAGGAAACCCTGATCACGCTTCTTGAACTTCCTCTCGTCAAAAATCTGAACAGACAGCGTGGAGTTTTCCTTGACATCACTAGCAAAAACATCAGGATCATGGTGTGCGATCACTCAACGGTGCTCACAGGTCGAAACTTTCATTCCAGTAGGGATTCAAGCTCTTTCTGAACACGCTAGTGTTGTGTACAGCCTGACCATCGACAGAAATAACAGCAAAAGGATCGGGGAGGTTGAAGACCTCGCGTTTGATAAGCCCACTAGCTGCGACGACTGCATGCTACATAAGCAATCCGATGGTGCGGAAATGACGACCGATGCAGATTTGCTTACCATTAAGCCGAAGCTTCCTGGACTGTCCAGGGACATGGAGGCGTTGTCCCGAGTCGGCCATCGATGGCTGAAGAATGATGCTATAGAGGAAAAGTGGAGAGAAAGAAGGAGAGAGGGGATGAGGGAGGAGTGAATGGGAGTAAGATAGCAACCCTAAGCAGTGCCTACGGAGACGATATGTGGGTAAATGTCCCCGCCCCTTGCAGCGCCCCTCACCTCACCTCCAACTGCTCTCCTTCCGTACACTCTATTTATAAGTCCGGTTTCGCACAACCCATTTACAGACATGGTGTCTCCTCAGGCACAGGCCGCAGCTAGAGCTGCCTATCGTGCCATATTCAGAGCCACTACGGTCACTTTCAAAGGTATGCAGAGTCGATTTCATGCCTAGCCTTGATCCTTGTTTTTGAACTGATTGACCAGGGGATGAGCCGTTGTTGCGCGGTCCGTTGATCCATGTTATTTATTGCATGATCACAACTCACTCTGCGCCAGCCTTCAGGCAAAAGACCCGGGAAGCGTATGTAGCCAATCGTTCGCTTGCCGACGAAGCCGCCTACGCAGGCGCAGTGAAACATGCAAATGATGTTGCAGAAGTTCTCTTGAAAAATGTTGCGCAGGCCAAGCAACGGGAGGATGGTTCGTGGAGTGGGTGATTCATGTTCACCGCCTGAAACTGCTGAGCTGAGACTCTCGTCCTAGACCTACGGATGACAGAACACACAGAGCTGGGCGACAACGAAACCATCAACCGGTTCGCGTCGTCGAAAATGTCCAGAGATCGGCCTCGTGGGACGCAGTAGGTTAAGTTCGAGATATCTACCTCTCGCTTTCTCAAGAGCGGTATTAGGATGCGAGCTTTCTCCACATTTCTCCCGCGTCAGTCATACACGCGGGACAAGCGTGAGGCTCATCAGAAGCGCGAGCTGCCAGTCTTAAAAGCAGAAGATTTGGAGGAATCTTTCGTTCGAGGCTCGGGACCTGGTGGACAGGCTATCAATAAAACATCTAGCTGCGTCAGCTTGATTCACCGACCCACCGGCATTCGTGTGCTCGCACAGCCTACTAGATCACGGCAACAGAACAGAAAAATTGCTCGCAAAATTCTGCTTGACAAGGTGCTTCTGACTTCTATGCCGTATCAGATAACGTCTCAAGCGAACTCTCCCCCACAGCTCGATCAGCTGATGAATCCGGGGCTCTCAAAAACAGACATGAAGCGTGATAAAATTCGCGAAAGAAAGAGGCAGCGCGATAAAAAGCGCAGAAAGGAAGTCGGAGACGCTGAAGACGAAATTGAGGACGATTTGAAAAATCCCCTGAGAATGGGCCTCCCTAGAGATGGATAAATGTGATGAACAACGACGCATTTGGAAAGACTGTCGTCGGTGGCTGCAAGACTTGGATTCGCCCACCTACACATAGTGAAAAAGCTGCCTGGATGGCGCCCGTCATCACCAAAGTCATCCGATTAAATTAAATTACAGCGCCAGCTCCATTGATGTACAAACACAGTTCTGCATCACGTTGTGAATCCGTATAAAACATATTGATGTAAACCCCCAAAGACGTTGAATAGTTTGCTCGCTGGAGGTAGCCAATTAATCTATATGGCCGTAATGGCCAGGCACCCTCAATCTGCATTTCTCGCAGCCTTCTCTGGGTCCCATAATGAATCGCCTCCGCGAAACAGTTAGCCCTGTTGTTCGCGAGGAGACTGCATGTGCAGAGGATTTGGGCAGTGGGGGCGGTAGAATTGGGACATGAGAATGGCGCGGTGACTGGTGCAGTAACGGCGTAGGAGGCTGTAAGAGAACAGCGGGTATGATGAAGGACTTCGACAACATCGACGACATTGAGGGGATCTACCGAAGCAGACAGTGTGAGCCTCATTTACGGAGCTACAATGCATACACACTAGGTTCTTCTGATCCATGTCGGCATCGGCATCGACATCTCCGGGGGAATCATCGATTCTCATCGCCTCCGCTGCCTCCAAAAAGTCGGGTTGCACTTGATTTACTACAGGCTCATCCTGCATGGCACTCCAACAACCCTCTGTCTCGGTACCTCCTAGAGTCGACGGCACTGGAGAAGGGGTGCTTGATAGGGTTGACGCCAGAGGCGAGCCGAGCCCACAGGCAGAGAAGGAAGATGAGGAGAGCGTGCACTGAGCCATCGTGTGTGTATGCAGCGAAATAGACGAAGCCGGTATCGAGAGTACAAGAGCATGATCAGAGATTAAACGCTTCTGCGTACACACTGAATGTCAACTGGCATGGAGCACGTATTAAAATCATGGAGCACCTTGTTGGAGGGGGATTGTCTTGAGCTGGATTCAGAAACGCTCGGACTTCGACGACGTTTCTGTGAGCGAGTCTGCATCTGGTGGTGTGAAGGGCTGGAGTGATGGAAGTGTGCAGATGCCATTGCAGCGCCGTGGATCTCCATGATGAAAAGAAAAGGGAGGACGATGAGCAGAGACGGACCTGACCATGAAGGGATATGATTTCTACGGAGACAAACTTACAGTAAGCGATGCACACCACATATCGACCTTATGAATCTAACGTTGATTGATGAAGAATATGGGGCTAATACAACTTTGTTTCATTCAATCTCACTGGGCTTGTATTGGGCGTGCCCACCGCAGGCTGCAAAATGTATCTTGGTCCATCACTCTGCCATACTGCTCCTCTTGGACTTCGACAGGTTGCATCAACACGAAACGGTCCATCAAATTGTTTGTAATGCCCGCCACGCGGGCGGCTGATCCAATAATCGGCAGGTGCTCCGGCGGCTTTGAAACGTAACGGTTTGCGTGCAGTTTGTCGTCCCATATTAACTACAAGATTGGTCGTATATCACATGAGGCTGCTCTGCAGGTTCACATCCACTCAGACGAACGCACCATATGTGACCTGTCAGACGCAAACCACGCTAGGAAGTCTTGTGCATCCACAACCCGAAATTTGCTGACAACGGAAATGAGTAGGACTACTCGACGGACAAAATGACAGGCCCACCAACGGTAACGACTAGGGACCGTCTCACGGAATGGGAACGTCTCGGTCACATACGCTGCACGCAATCAGGTTCAGTGCTGGGACTGGTCCGCCGATTCGATGAAGACGCACTGTACCACTGCACAGGGATGTCCAGCAACGAATTGACATCATAAACCCAACTCCCTGCTTGGTTTTCCGAAGACTCCGAAGGCTTAGCCACAAGGACAAGGATGCAGTGATAATCCCAAACGATGAGCCCTCCTTCCTGCGGCTTGCTGCCCTTCTGCTGCAAGAGGGTAATACAAAGATCCTCATTAGAGATGAAAACCACGTAAATGGACCAAGTGTTTTGTAATCGTTCCAAGCCAGGTCGCGTAAAATACCGGGCAAGGCAATAAACGTTTTCTTCGCAGAAATTTGGCGTGTAAGTTAGCTGTGTGGGTATGCAGGGCGGTATCATTCGCAAATCGACTGGAACAGAGAAGCGACCAGTGTAACACAAGATATCCGGGACCAATGCCTTCAAGTAGGGGACTTTTGAATGGCTTGCGTTGAGGATATGAATTATATAGGAACATCACTCGGGGTGTACAGATACGGAGCAATGGGTAATATCACAGCATGAGCAGGAGGAGGGAAAAGAAAAAGAAACGGACGTTGTTCTGCCTAAGACGACAGGGCAGAAAGACACTTCGAGTCATTGTACCGAATAAACATGAGTATCATAACCATCATTGAGGGTAACGGATGTCTGGATATTGTTAGAGGCCCTCTTCGAGTCACTACGGATGTGCTGGTCCTACTCACTGCAAGGAGGGATATGGTCGGCACGCACGACGGCGAGGGCTCACTTGTTGGGAGGGACACCCTTGTTTCCCCAGTTTCCACCCAGCTTCTTCAGCACAAGATCCGGTGTCTTCCTTTCCAACTCGAATCGCGTGAACACGGGTTCTACGGATGGTGGAGATGGCATGGGTGTGCGCCGTGGCTGTGGAGCAGCGATGAGGACTGGCTGGGTAGGATTGGATGGGCCAGATGCGGTGGATGTAGGTGTTGAACCAGCGCGAGTGAAGGGATGAGTCTTGAATGGGTCGAATGTCGCAAGGGTAGACTGTGACATGTTGGAGGTGAATACGATTGATTAGATCGGTTGAAGAGAACGGTGATATTTGGGGAGTACGATGGAGGGTAGATATGTCAAGGGGCTGGACATGACAGGTGGTGGACGAGGAAAGGACCTTATATACAGTGGGAGGAGCGGACCGGGGCAAGTACCGATAGGGGACTTCGTATGTACATATGTTCTAACGGATCATCCGGAGCGGAGGTGAGAGAAAGAACGAGGTGGTCCGTGTCACATTCCGCCTTTTCCGCCGAACGACTCTGGCTCATCTCTGTTCGTCACTATGCTTCACACCTAATAACAACGAGGTAATCCACTATTTTGCGCGCTGAATGGTGGAGAAAAGCAAGCGGTCCGACCTCCCCGCCTCCGGATGTGGCTGGCAACGGCGTGGATGGACACAGACCATGCAAACAAGGCACGGCGAGCATCTGGGGATCACAAACCCCTAGAATTTTATGCGAAACGGAAGAATGCTGTAATATTATCATTATGTGCCGATGAAAAAATCCCCTAATATTGAGCATTTACTTGGGGGAAGTCTACACCGGCAACCACTGATACCTTAACCCCTGTGTGAGATGTCTCGTTTTGTACTCGTTGGTCGTCGTCCGGCTTGAATTTACCTGGTTGTCAGGTGGAAGAGGTGTGTGTGTCGTTCACAGGGCTCCCACACGGCGAGGCAGTGCTGGTTGTACGGGCCCCTCTGTGAAGGTTCTGTGAGCGGCATTATCAGCAGAACACCTTCACCAAAGATGTGATTTGGTGAAGCTGCTCAAGGTAGGCTTTTATAATAGTTTAATAGACAATGTGATTCAATAATTGGTAATGTCTTTTCTTGAGCTCTCGCAAGGGACTATAAGTCATTTCCTCTCCGTCAATGCTCACCTCACATCTCCCTTATTTGGTATGCATTTCTTTTCAAACTTCCTGTATCAAAGGTTTGTATTCTTATTTATACAATCAAGAAATAAATAAATAAATCGTTAATTACACCATGGTGAAATTGACATTGTAAAAATGTCGGAGTCAATCTGGGCCACTTGAAGTTTCAGAAGCTCCCGACCCTATGCGTTTATTGTCCCTGTGCACATGCCACATCACCTCTGCTTCAAACCATTGACTTCCCAAACTGCTGTTGGTCAACCGGCATTCTTAGCTTTACACACTTTCTTATATCATCATTAGCAGCAATACTGGCATGCATTCTGGAGAAGACACTGACCTCGATGATATCCCTCTTGACTCAGTCACTGCTCCTGGCACCAACGTGCCCAGCGATGGAATGCCGGCTGCCCCTAATGACCCAGCTATGAACAGCTTGCAGGGAGGGGGTGAGGAGAAGCCAGATCAGTGTGGCTGGCTTTGCTTCTTGAAGGACACCTTAGGAGTGTCTGGAGGAATGTCCAGAGGGGGTTCTGGCAGGGCATCAAGGTTGAGGGTGGCAGAGGATGAGGAGGCCAGGATTGGCCTCATCATGGGTACCAAGGTGCGTTTGACCATCAGCAGAACACCTTCACCAAAAGCCCGCTATTTGTGAGCTTTTGGTGACATGTATGCTATGAGAAGGTTCAGCTCACTCCTTGTGCAGGCACTGCATAATGCCTACCCTCTCCAGGCCACCATGAGTGTCACCAGCTGTCAGACCAATGTTGTGGACTTTGATGCCAAAACATATGCCCACCTGCATCACATCTATGGGAGAACCTATGGCTATGTGAAGACAAATGCAAGCCTCCAGTGTATCAGCTGGTGTGGCTGTGGCACAATGCTGATGGTCAAGCACATGGTTCAAGATGTCGGCTACTGTATGGAGGTCTGCACTTCCTCCTGCATCTCATGTGTGGACATGATCAGATCTGGTGGTTGTGTGGAGTGCTGCTGTGGCCTTCTGGCCATCTTTCTCATCTTTGCTCTCATTGGCAGTGCTCTTGTCAGTAAGTCCATACCTCTTCCTTTTTCTCTCATCTAATCCTATCTCACAGGTATCATGTACAGTGTTGTCCAGATCTACACCAAGAATGTGGGGACTGCTCAGGCTGCAGTTGGTATGGTGACCTCAGTGGTGGCAGTTGGCACTGCCGCTCTCAAGCTCTAGTTATGCAGACTGTTGTAGTGCATACCTCTCCTTTTCACTGTTGTCCAAAGTTCACATTCACTTAATCAATGTCAATTAAGTTTCTGTCTGAGGTTACTGTTCTGTGTCCCTGTGTCCCTTGCTAAGATGACATTACACAAAAAGCTTGCTGGATAGAGATACAATTTTCTATATCTGGTGAAGGTGTTCTGCTGATGGTTGAACACTTGGACTCTTCCTCAGCATCACTGACCTTGGCATTGGTGAAGGTGTTCTGCTGATGATCAACATCACAAACAGGAGCTCCCTTCTGGTTTGAACACTAACCTTTTTGTCTAGCAGCTCTGCAACCACTTTTCCCCTTGGTTCTGTCTATTAGGTTTAGGGTCATATCATTCTTATCATTAATTTGCATTCTGCCTGACAATGACCTCATCAGGCATCCCTTTGAGACATCACATGGGTTGGCCCCATGTGCCATTGGGACATAGCTTGGCAGAAGTTAAATTGGACCTGTGGCATGGAAGCAATCCTGCCACCTTACATCCTCTTGACCATCCCCTGGTTAACTATCACCCCTTACAGGATCCAATGATATCAAAGGTATGTTCCATTTCAATTAAGTATAGTATTCTGCCCACATACTGATTATTTGTGTAGCTCCTTTTCTTCAGTTCTTGTTTCATGATTCTGATTCCTGAAGTTCACCTCAATCTGGGTGGTCATGACAAGGGTGGTGAATGGGTAGGTCACCCATCCATCCTTCAAACTCTCATGTTAATCCCACACAAGGAAACCTGTCTGATGACAATGCAGGCACTGACCCACCCTGTCACACAGAATGGCTACATGTTTGACCATCAGCAGAACACCTTCACCAAAGCCACTGCATCATGCTGCCTCGGATTGGAGGAGGTTGCAATGGACAATCAGTGCCGATTGTACTTGTACTTGCTTAGCCTAGGGCTTGTACAACCTGGGGGGCCTGAAGAGTTCAATTGCAGTGCAGCCCTGCATGTGCTTGCTCATCTGCACAGTTGAGAGCTGATGTTGGCAATTCAAGCTTTTGGACTTTTGGTGCATCAGTTATTGATGGAACTTTATGAGGTTGCTCATGGTGAGGGTGAGATACTGGAGAAGGATGTGCATGATTATTCGGTCAAGGAGATGGTTAGTCATGGTTGTGGAGGTGAAGATCATTGGGGTGAGAGAATGTTCCTTCTTGCACACAAGCATGGTTACAATATCACCAGTGCTTGTCGGGTGTTGGGCTATAGCACTATGAAGTTCTTCAATCAGGCTGCCTACACCCTCACTCACTGATATATCAGTGATGCTCATTATGAGCTTTGCCACAAGAAACTCTTTCAATCACTTGTAACCATAGTATAGTTGTGGTATCTCACAAATAGTGCAGACTGGTGAACATTGTGTACAATGGATGGAATTATGTCAAACAAGATCTGGGGGGGTGTCTACAATGGATAGTCTACTTCCACTTGGCTATGTGGGGCACTTGAAAGTAAACTGGTCTTCCTCATCAATGTGCATCTCCTCCAATGCCCCTTCTGACAGGCCTACTACATGTCTACTTGCATGTTGGTTTGCTCTGTTTAGACCATGCCATGATCCAATTGCATCTGTCACCTGTGACAGACTGTTGTTCAATGTCAGAATGGACGTAGGTTCCCTTGGACTTGGCAAAGGGGGGGGGGGTTCACTGATTTACCAAATGCTTCACTTCCATGTCCAGAGACAGTCTGAACAGCCTGATGTACTGCATGATCAGACAAGAAGTAAGGCATGAGCATCCCATCTGTACCTCCAGGATATTGTCCAGTTTGTCAGTGTCTGAATCATACACCCACCAGGCAGATTGGTTTGGGGGGGAGGATGATTTCCCCTCATTGCACCTCCTGCAACATTTGTGGGCATTGCAAGCCTGATCATTGTCGTCATCTCCTTCATCTCTGTTGTTTGTGCATAGATTGAAGACCAGATGCTGCGGGTACTGGGATAAGCAGGTGCTTCCATGGTATGCTCGAGTTGCTTACTATGGTGCCATCCTTCAGCAAGCACTCTGGGTTGATATTAAGAGTGATATAAAGAGCATCTGAGCTCCTCTTGATAGTTGACCTAAGCATTGTGAATGGAGCAGCTGCCGTTTGGATCGGATGGTGCTGGATTCAACTTTGCAAGATATGGAATGAGGGAAGGAGTCCATGGTAACATAAGGCCCTTGCTCCATGCTGTATCTGCACCATACTGTCTCCTCAACACTCTTTATTTGGGCCTTTGCTTTCACTTGCACGTTTGTATATGCTTCTTGATCTGCCTCTTTCACAACATCGATTGTAGTATGAACCAATCTTGGGACCCACGGGCAGTTTTCCAGTTTGAATTGAATGGCAAGGCTCGCTGCCATCTGTGCAAAAAATTGTCATATGGCCGAGCCATGACTGAGTCAAATCACCTATGACATGAAGCAACTGAAGCACATAGGCATAATGTCTTGTGCCTTTGTCAACATCTCCTACTCTATCAAGAACAGAAGGCACGAGACACTCTTGTTCAGGGCATGAACTCTTGTGCCATCTTTGTTCCTGCATCCCAACCATATGATGACATGGACATTCCACCAGGGATGTATATCTACTATGATGATGTGGATGATCCTGTTGTCATGGAGGGAGCATTGGATTCAAGGGAGACTGAAGAGGAGCTATATGCACATCTGGAGAGGGAAGCACAGGACTGTGATTTCCTTGACATCTTTGGCAACTCAGCAGACAGGCAGGCTCTTGCAGACCTGGTGGAGGAAGAGGATGACAATGGTTTGCTCAGCATGGGTCTACAGTGTAAGTGCTTCCATGTTCCTACTGTCCATCTGCCTCTTACAGTAGCTCACAGTGATGCTATTGAGCACATCCACCAAAGAACAACAGCATTCCATGTTTGGAGGGCCCTGAGCTGAGCCTAAGCTATATCCCTACAGTACACATGGGGTCAGTCCTTCCTTACCTTCCTATTGATATTGGCTGAGCATCCAGGTGATGTACTGTGACCTATTGATGCACTCTAGCTGTGTCAAGTTCTTGCAGGCCCAGCAGCACTTGGTCTTCGCCCTAATGAAGCTGATGGGCACACGAGAACTACCCTTGGTTCATACCCTCAAGCTATGGGGAAAGACCTCCCTGCAAGCTGTCAGAAATCCAGTGCGGGAGTTCACTTCTACCCATGGCAATCTCTACTACCTCAGCAATCTTGTGGATCTTATTTCCAAAGTATGTATTTTGCCTCTCTCATTGAGGGTGTGGACTGATGAGTACAGGATATGGCAAATCTGATCACACACGCAGGGATGGAGTTCTATCCTATAGTTGGTATGAGGGAACTGAAGGAGTTCTACCATGGGTGGCTGTGGTCTCACAAGGCTTCGGACAACTGGCTGACACCTATGATCAAACACAAGGGTCAACACTGGTATGTAGGTGAGCTCCTGCAGTGCAAGGACAGCAAGTACTTTATCCCTCAGCAGTGGGTTTAACTGGGAGCTAGTCATGGCAAGTTTGCAGCCTGGGGAATCAAATTGCTTGAGCAAGCAGTAAGCGGTCAGTTTAGCAGTAGGCAAAGTACCCTGACTGCCAGCCAGGGTAGATTACACCAAATTTCCATGTCCAAGACCTTTTGCTGTGCTCATACCTTTGAATTCAACTATATTGAGCTTGAGTGACATCTTGCATCTGGGCGACTCGCTTTCTCAGGTGAGCAGGACTGGTGTAGCCAAGTTCCTCACAATGAATGCCATAGCAGCTGCCAACAATGCCCTGGCATCATCTATGCTGAACTGCTGGAGGGCTTTAGCCACTGGATGACCAGTATACTCAATGCCCCTCATGTTCTGGGCTGATGATGTCTCTGGCAACATATTGAAGATGTGGAATAAACATTACAATATCTGCATGTCAAATTTGAGCCAGTGATGCCAAGCTCTGGATTCTGAGTACCACATTCACTTTATGGGCACATCACAACACACATATCCTTTGGAGCTGATGGAAGGTGTCAGCTTGATGATCAAGTGAGTGTCTGTTGGGATTGGCATGCCTCCCTGTTGGCTGCAGTGTCAGGGCACCAGCTCATTGCTTGGTCAAGAGACATGACTAAGCCTTTATGACATGGAAGTAGCTGGTATACCTTGGCATGTGCTGGAACCTGCTGGAAGGATTGGATGGTCAGGTGACCTGCTGTGCATGGCTGTGCATGACCTCATATGACCTCATCCTTGGTCATATGACCTGATCACCTGACTAGGCTGAGTAAGCAAGATGTTCTGGCAGGTTCCACCACAGAGGTATAAATATAAGGCCTACTCTGCCTGGGGACTGTCTCTTCAGACTTGGTCTCTTAGGATCATCCACAGGTACCTATACTGTAGATAGGTCTTAGTCATCAGGTCTACTCCACTTCCTTGTTGCCTGCTTAGACTCTTGGCACTCTTAGGTGAGCAGACTTAGTCAGCCTGTGTTGCCCTAACAGAGGGTCAATCCCATTGCAGAGGAAACCCACAGTCGTCATGCCGAATATCTGAGTGGTCCTGTTGCCTGGGGAATCATAGTAGTCACCATGCTGAATATCCATGGTGGGCCAAGGCTCATTGCTGGGGTGCATTGTCTGTGTAGTGAGGGTCTGTAGTGCTGCACAATGGTCTCTAAGGCCTGAAAATAGCCATGGGAATATTGGCCTGACACATCCTACTGGAGGTGGGGTTGTTCATCCCCCCCAAACCTTGAATACTGACTCCCTGAGTCAGTGGGGCTGCAGGTGACATAGCGTGCAGTCAGGAACATGGTGTGGTACTGCTGAATGTCAAGTTAAGCAAGGGCAGCATTATCGAGAACCAATCATGAGATTCTCTGCTGTAAGACATCAGGCCGCATATTGGGGCACTGGTAAAATGGTGGCGTTGATGTATTCAGGGAAGGGTGTATTGGAGGGCATTGCTGCACATTTGGCGCTAAGGGTGGCTGGTCAGCATGTGAAGACCCTAAGCAGTGGCTTGTAGTGCCACTTAAGTCCACAAGAGGGACCCTGACCAGGTTTTTTGTATTGAGTTGCATGGTGCCTGAGACCCTGATTGTCTGATTTCTTGCTTTGCAAAGCCCAGTGTGGTGTTTTATCTGCACCACCTCAGCTGAAACCGTGTTCTGGATATTGGCACTTAGCAGGGCCCATGCACATTATTGTTTTCCATTGAGGTGTTTGTGTGCCTATAAATGTGACCAAATTTGGCCCTTGTCAAACAGTCACTTCAGTACTTCCTCCATGAAGGCAAACTGTGTCAACGTAGTCTGACCAGCTCCCCCCAAATATATGTTCCACCTGCCGAATGTCTAGCCCTGCTGAAACAAGCCCACAATGACAGCAGTCACAAAGGTTTCAAGACTGTCACTGGTATCCTTCATCTCCGATTTTGGTGGCCTGCCCTACATGCAAATATCGAGTGGTACCTCCATACCTGCCATGCATGTCAAGTCCACAGCATTTGGAAGGTCCTCAAACCTCCAACAGTCGATTATCCGGCTCCGCTTTTCTCCAAGATCTACTGTGATACCATGAAGATGCCTCCTGTAAAAGGATACACTTGCATTGCTCAAATCCACTGCTCCCTGTCCTTGTATCCCAAATGGCATCCCTTAAAATTGGAAACCGCAATGCCCCTCACATCCTTCTGCTTCCATGACGTTATCTGCTGCTGGAAAAATATTGCGGAGATTGTAACCAACAATGGATCAGCCTGGGTAGCTGCCATGAAAGAACTGGCACAACACTTTGGGATCTGGCACATCCAAATTTTGCCCTACAACTCTTGCACAAATGGTGCAGTCAAATCAAAACATTTTATGGTCCAACAAGCAATTCTGAAAGCATGCAGAGATAATATCAAGCAATGGCCTGACAAAGTGCCATCCGCATTTTGGGCTGAGCAAATTTTGGTCCAGCACAGCACCAGTCTCTCCCTGTATTTCATTGCACATGGTGTTCACCTGGTCTTCCCCATGGACTTTGAGCAAGCAATGTTCCTTGTGCCCCCACCCAAATTCCCCATGATGGACAGTGACAAGCTGGCCTACTGAATTCAACAGCTTGAGCACCATGAGTCCAATTTAGCTGATCTCCAGGAGAAGGTGCACCAGGCCTGATTATGCATGGCTGACTGATTTAAAGTGGATTACGAGCACATCCTTGCTGACTACAACTTCAAACCTGGCACCCTGGTCCTCATCTGCAATACTCGCATTGAGAAGGAACTTGACCATAAATCAAAGCCCCAATTTCTTGGTCCCATGGTTGTGGTCACTTGTACTGCCAGAGGCAGCTAGGTGATCACTGATTTGGATGGAGCCATTCTCAAAGCCCACATCGCACAGTTCCACATTTACCCATACCACCAACAATCCAAATGCACCCCCACCCTACCCAACATTTTGCAGCAGACATCTGCCGAGATCCTGCAGACCATAAAAGACGTCTTGTCAAGTATTGCAGAGCCCAACCCCGAATGAATAGTGCAGGCCTTATACCCACATGATTGTCAAAACAGCATACACATACCTCCCAAGTTCATCACTCATTTTTTTCCCATTTCCCCAAGATATATCTACCAAGTACACAAGCAGACTCAGTAGTATGGCAACAAAACAGTCCTTACTGGAATACCTGCAACTTTCTTATGACCCACATGAGATCCGGATTACCCATGTGAAAACATTGGAGTCTGACTTGAAGCACTCTACAACAAATAACAGGCCAACAAGATGTATTACCACAAATTTTGCTTAAGGCAAAATTTGGATCTATGAGCACACAAAGACACAACTATGCTACAATTACAACTAAGAGGCAAAAATATGAAACAGAAAAAAGAAAAACATGAAAAAACCAATTTACTCAGCCAGAGCCCTCCCCAGGAGAGTCTGGACTTGATCTGCCCAGCCCATTACTGTATCCATCACCTTCTGCACTGCGTCCACTGCCTTCTGTGCCATGTGCAGGCTCTTCCACAGCTTGAGCATCTTGTGCTCTGCCATATGGAGCGGCATGACTGGCAGCTCAATCTCTACAAGTTCAGTTAGTGTTGCCCAAATATAAACTACAGATGAAAAAGACTTACTGGCCTCCAGGAAGCAAGACCGCTTTGTTGACGGCCCTGCTGAGTCCTCATTGTCCTCCTGTTCACATTTTTTGGGCTTTACCAGGGCATAGCTGCACACCAGCTTCTGCTTCTTCTTCTTGGCAGGCTTTTCAGCGTTTTCTTCAACAGGCTCAGGCTCAGGAGTCTCTGGGATGAAGAGATCCTCCACAGATGCTGGAGGCGGAGCTGTGCCCTTGACAAGATGTGCTGGAATGGGAGTTAGAAATGGTCAATAAAAGCGGGACAAAAAGTGGTGTACCTGTATGAGCACTGCAAGGCTTTTTTGCTGCCTTGCACATCAAACAAACCACCCTATCAGCCACCTCCGCAATATTGCACTTGTGGCATGCCTTACCATCCTTGACAACGGCATGCTTGTGGCACAATGTACACTGCCAAAAATACATCAGAAAAGTTAAGCAGAGCATGAAACGCAGGGACGACTCATGCAGTTTTCAGCTGCAAATGACTTCAATACTGCAGCATCTGTTGTTGCCAACAACACCTTTTCCAGCATCTCTTCTGGCATCCACCCCTGCAATAAATTGGTCAGCATATGAAAGCACACAGAAGAAAGCAGCCAACTTACTGCATTGCAGGAGTCCTCCTTTGTCAGCCTCCCACAAGCCCTGGTCACAAGCGGTGTCTTATCCATGCCATTGTTGAGGCGCAGCATGACCACCTTCACTGGCATTGTCTCCTTTGCCTTTGCCTTACCTTTTTTGGCCTTCACCAGCAGGCTGGCCAGGCTCCCCAGGGTCATCTGCATAATTCAGGTTAGCACCAGCAAATGACTCACAAGAAAGGAAACATGTACTGAAAAACTGGACAACATTGCCTTAAACACCTTCTCATCCTTGTCCTTTTCCTCTTCCTCCTCAGGTGGTGCAGACAAGGTGGTCAGCTCTTCTTGCTGGTCAAGGGTGAAAAGTCGGACCCACTTCTTGGGCAAATCACAGATGAGGGCAGACTGGGGACTATTGAGGAGCAACACAACTGTGTTGCCAAATGGTGCGACATCTGGATACTTCACTGAGGGCAAGAATCTGGGATCCTCTGCATCTTCATGCATTCGGGCAACAATCACAGCAGCCATCTTGAGCATGGTGTGCTTGTCTTTTGGCAGCACTGGCTTGGCAGCAGACTTGTGAGTGCTGGGCTTGGCCATTTTGGAGCATGGGGATATGAATAAGTAAAGGTGGGGGAGGATTCAGTTGAGATCTGCAGAGACAGGAAAGGCAAAATTTGGTCACATTTATAGGCACACAAACACCTCAATGGAAAACAATAATGTGCATGGGCCCTGCTAAGTGCCAATATCCAGAACACGGTTTCAGCTGAGGTGGTGCAGATAAAACACCACACTGGGCTTTGCAAAGCAAGAAATCAGACAATCAGGGTCTCAGGCACCATGCAACTCAATACAAAAAACCTGGTCAGGGTCCCTCTTGTGGACTTAAGTGGCACTACAAGCCACTGCTTAGGGTCTTCACATGCTGACCAGCCACCCTTAGCGCCAAATGTGCAGCAATGCCCTCCAATACACCCTTCCCTGAATACATCAACGCCACCATTTTACCAGTGCCCCAATATGCGGCCTGATGTCTTACAGCAGAGAATCTCATGATTGGTTCTCGATAATGCTGCCCTTGCTTAACTTGACATCAGCA